TCTAAAGATTTTTGATAGGTCTGGGCTGGTGACACTGGATATTAACAGGCCCCTGGATTTTTGGGGGTAACGTAAAAATTTTCTCGGGAGTTCCAGAAATTGCGCATTACATCATCTCTCGAACCTGGAAAAATGTCCCCATCCTCGGAATTTTCCAGATACTGGAAAAAAATTTCTCGGAATTTTACAGAAAATGTGTCCCTCAGAAAATTTCAATTCCGGCTATTGGAGAGTTCCAGTTAAGAGGGATTCCGGCTAATATAGACATTACTGTATTCTGTCCCAATAGGAGATGGTGATCATAATGGAGGCATCACCATCTTTGTCTCCACCTCCATGAATGTTTCATTCACCACTATGCAGCTTCATTCGCCCCTACAGGCAGTGGCTGTTTGCCTCCATCTAAGAAGGGTATACACTGTCTGCTGACTATGCCTTCCTCCTGGTACACCAGTGTCAAAGACAGATTTAATCAGCATGCATAAGGCTGGGAGTTTTACTATTTTTAGTGATTCAAGAGCAGCACAGTCTTCTCTGGATTCTTTTAATCACACCCTCCCCCTCTCTTTTTTTTTTGTTTTTAACTGACTAGTGGTCCTCTGTCGGCAGGGGGAAAATGTGGATTTCTGTTGGGTTCCTGCCCATGTGTGCATACAAGGTAATGAGAGGTCTGACGAGGTGGCCAAGTTTGCTGTCTTTCGTTACTCCCTCTCTCACAGGGATTTCTTCCCTGCAGTCAGGTCAGCCATCCAGACCTCCTGGCAGCTACAACGGGACAATTTTTCCATTCCCAACAATTTGTGAGATTACTAAAAAGATCTGTCTGTGGGAATATCCTTGGATGCCCCACCGCTATGAGACTGCCCTTACCTGTCTACATGTTGGACACACTCACCTCACCCACAGTTTCCTTATGGCCAGAGGACTACACCCCTATTGTGATGACTGTCTGGTTCCACTAACTGTGAGATACAGTACTTACTGGTAGATTGTCCCAGTCATGGGGACTTGAGTCATTTTCCGGCCAAGTGCCAGCAGAAGGATGGATCCTTCTCCATCTCAAAGGTGCTCAGCAAGAGAAGTTCAGCACCTAATGGTGGACTTTTTACATTTTTAATTGGAATAAAGGTACTTAACCACGTGTAATTTTAAGTAAATATAGGATCTTATATTATTTTAATTTTGATATTTAAATTTAATAGAATTTTATTTTATTTATATTATAGTTTTAAGTTTTAAGTTTCATTTTGGCGTCAAATGGCCACAGGCTGCGACACCAAATATTTTACCCAGTCAATCAATCAATTCCTCCCCATCACTATCTTCATCACCCGATGCTGTATCAAATCAAGCAACTCTTGACAAATATGTAGCACCACTGTTGAACAAATGCCTTCGCTTGGGTGTGGAGGAGTGTGGCAGGTCACGAGAAGTCAAAGGATGTGCATCCATCACGATAGCTGGCAAGTAACTGGACCACGAGACTTGAGACAAGGATTACGCTGGAGTTGAGTTACCAATTAAATATATATCCTATACAGCACAAGGAACTTCGTCCCGTCTGGACATTCAAACTGTGCCGCGAAAATTAAGGACGCAGAGGTACATCACCCGGGGTCATTATAGTGGACGTAGAGGGACGTCACCCGGGGTCACTATACAGTAGTGGACGAAGAGGGACGTCACCCGGGATTTAATGGTTAAAAATGAAAAATCAAAGAAACAAAATAGAATTCTATTTTCTTTTGGTAGATCTTCAGTCATTTCTTGGATAGAACCATAATAAATATTCAAACATCCATTATATTTAACTCATATTTCCCTGTAAGCTCCTCCAGCCTCGATCAAGTTGGCTTGTCATCAGTGGCACTAGTGTCTTCATAACGCCTAATCCACAGAGCTACCGTGGGCTTAGACACTCCCACCCTCCCAACAATTTCACAATTGCTGAGGCCAAGATTGTGGGGAGTAATTACAGCTGCTCTGGTTGTTAAAGAAGCCTCATCTCATAGTGAGAGTGGCAAGGTCATGACAGGAGTTTATGTCAACGACTTATTGTTCACATGCAAAACAAAATTTATTGCAATGACAAACTTTACTTCTGATAATTTAAAAAAAAAATTAACATATTAAAAAATAATTGTTTGCTAACTTTTAAAAGTGGAATTTGCCGTATTTAGAGTTTAACTCATTAGTATATGTTTCAAAATACAGTATGATTCAAATATCAAAAAAGAAAAAGATAAGGGAAATGACGTTGCAATCAAACTTACTGTATCAACCCTATTGAGACGACGAGAGCTAGTGTTCATGTTGAAATCTATCGTACTCAGGGGTAAAAGTAATTTATGGTCTGACTGTACCCAGGTTTGGTATAAAATATGTATTATTATGTACAATAATATCTCCAATAGCCTGAATTGAAATTTTCTTGGAAAATCGTTCCCAAAGCCGGAATTTTCCGGAAAATTACAGCTTTGGGAACGATTTTCTGAGGTGCACATTTTTCGGAACATTCCGGGGATGGGAGAGTTTTTCAGGTTTGAGAGATGATGTAAAGGGCAATTTCTGGAACTTCCGTGAACATTTTTCTGTTACCCGTAATATTTCGGGGATGAGAGATGTTTTTCCGGCTTTGAGAGTCGTCTCGCTACCCGGAAATCTCTCATTCCCAGAAGTGCTCTGCATCAATTGTTCCGGCTAACGGAGATATCACTTATTGAATACCGTATATACTCGTGTATAGTTCGAGTTTTTAAGACCAAATTTTTAGGCAAAAAATTGGGGGTTGTCCTATACATGCGTAATAGTTTTGTTAGGTTGAACCCGTGCATGATGGGAAGGGCGAGGAGCAACTTTTAGCTTCAGACATGAAAAATATTTACCATTTACTGCCAGTAAACAATGGAAACGTAAAATATGTACCAATTAGTAATGAAAAGTTGTGCAGTTCCTTTAGCAAATGAAGCTCACCAACTTACAATAGGCTAAATTACCTTACAACGTGCTTTCAGTAGTCTATGTTGAAGTTCTTAGCACAGGCTAACTTATCATATCATATACGGTATCACAGTTCTCATTGATCTACAAAAAATACCGGTAATAAAAACCTTTTCGATATTTCACACCTAATATGATACCCGGTAATCTACTTCAATCTCCTATTGTTTACAACTATGCATGACGCATCACCAGCTGTTGCGTCAGCTAGACGGTACACGTGTTTTTCGAATCGTTTTCAGTTAAAAAACTGTTACATCACATGTATATTTTACCTTAACTGTGCCTGAATGAATATATTTTCGGAAATAAATAGTAGTTTTGCTGAAACGTGATGTATTTCAGTGTAAAATAGGATAAAATACATGACGAAAACAAAAGACTTTACCTAAGCTTCCGATGTTCTTGAGATGTTACTCGTTTTTTAATAGTTTTCGGTTAAAATTCTGTTATATTACAATGATATTCCATTCATACTGTGCTTGATATAATACATTCACGGAAATGTAATATTTTTGCTGAAATTACGTACGTATTACAGTGGAAAGTGGGATAAAATCGTGACGAAAATAATGACTTTCGCTTTCTTTCGTTCAAAAGATGTTACCGTAATCTCTTTTCGAATGGTTTAGTTAAAAAACTGTTGTATTACAATAATATTCCCTCCTAATTGACTTGAATAAATACTTGAATGGAAATATACAATATTTTTGTTGAATCTACCCGCGTTTCAGTGTAAAGTGTCGTAATAATAAATGGTAAACAATTTGCCTTCGGCACTCGTGTTTCAGGCACGGCGAGTCTCAGTTTATAGGACGTAGAGCGTTTTTACTGAAGGTTTTGTTGTTCCATTACCCTCAAAAACGTGGGTCGAACTATAAACGAGGAATATCATAAATTAACGATTTCTTGGTCAAAAAATCAGGGTCGACCTATAAATGAGGGGGGTTATAGACGAGTATATACGGTAGATATTTTATTTCATGAAATTAAAATCCCAACATTCCCAATCACAAACACAAAATAAATGCACATGGACACACTCACAGAATCATAACACTACAGTATACAGCTACTCCTCGACTTACGACCTACTCGACTTACGACCACCCGGACATAAGACCGCCTCAGTTGTACCAAAATTTTTTCAAATTGCGTATTTTCAAGTCCCGACGATAGTGATTGCGCTGTGTACTGACAAAATTTTTGTTTGTAATTCCCTTTAAAATGGCTGGCAAGCTTAAAAGTGAGAATTTTGTGGTCCTGAGAAGGAAAATAGACATCCATTTTAGATTTCTATGTATTATTTTCGCATTTTTGACTTGCGACCTGGATTTGGGTCCCTAACCCTGTCGTAAGTTGGGGAGAGACTATACTCATTGGTGTACTAAGGGTGGCTGCTAATTGGCAGCATACAGTCACATGACCATGTGCAGGATGCTGAGTGGCTGAATAGAGTGTGATTTTGTTGCTTTACTTCTGGTGTTTTGCCTGGATTTTAAACCAACTGTGTGTATTTATATACCCACAAAGTGGATTTTGGGAAGAAAAGTGACAAAGCTGCACAATGGAAACTCAGGGACACTTTGATATGACAGAAAATGGAATTTCAGAGGTGGGTCACTTTGTCACTTTACTTTTGCATGCTTCATATGAAGGGAAATTTGAGGTTTGAAACTTAGCATAATATTATAATTGAGCCAAGTGACAGGTGCAGTACACAGACTCATGATAATGAGTCTTAAAGACTCCTAACCTTATAGCTTAAATGGTGGTCATTTTTTAAGATTGCATATTAGGGACTTAGTTATGATGGGAAGTGTAACTAATTCATGATTTAGTCCCAGCTGGTAATGTCTGGTGTTTCCCTAAGTTATCAGCCTGAGGACTTCTTGGGCAAATAAATAGTCACTTGGTCTAGGATCGATCATAAATTTGGATTTCAGGATTAATTGTCCTTTTATTCCTAATACAGTATTGTTTTACCTTTTCTCTGCTAGACATCACAAGAACAAAGAGATCAGAACCATGAATTGTATAATCCAAAAGAGGCAGCACTTGTTCGCTGCATCATCGAGACATTGGAGCCACAAATTGGAAAACAAAAAATCGGAATCATTACTCCATACCAAAGACAAAAGATCCTCCTTGAGGGAGAACTTGCAAAATTCTTTGGTCGAATGAATATTGTTATAAATACAATTGATGCTTTTCAGGTAAGTTTGAGTTTAATTCCTTTTTTGCTATTTGTATAATGATGTGTGTTTGTATTAACATTTTGGTTTCTGTAAGATAACCAGTGTATGTTAGACTTAACATTTTGATTTCTGTATTATAACATGTCAAGTAGACTATTAACATATGGTTTATTTATGATAATGTGTAATTACAGGGTATCAGATCTTTTATTTTATTTATATTTTTTACAATTTATGTTTGTCTGATTTTTTACATTTTGGTTCTACACAACTGCGCATAACACCTTTGCTACACTATATTCGGGATTTGCTTGTAGGGATACACAAAATATCAAACTGTGTGTGTTTTGGTGTTAGTGGCAGTCTTGTAGAGGATATCCAACTCTATCCTTGTAATTTTTTTTTTTTTTTACTTATACTCTTCCATTTCCAGACTGCTTTAACATGTTTCCCAGATACATAAGGTCCATTAATCTGCTGTTATTTATTAAACCTTCTTATCATCAATATTAGCTGTATATTGCATTAAATTTTACCTTCTATTGACTTTCTGAAGTTTTGTGGTACTCTACAATCCTTCTAGTTCTTGGTCACTTCTTTTGTAAGTCAGTGATTGCTGGACAGTTTCCCCTTTTTTTCTAAACCTTTTCATGGTGACCCGAATACTATAAGCATGTTTTTGAAAATGATCCTGTTTATTATTCACACACACACACACACACACACACACACACATTTTGTATATACATACCAGATTAAGTATTTCAAAATCTAACCTGTTTCCGTAGGGCCAAGAGCGTGACATCATCATTCTATCTTTTGTACGCGCCAACTCAACTGCGAACATCGGGTTTCTCTCTCATCGTCAACGCTTAAATGTTGCCCTCACAAGGGCAAGGAAGTGCTGTTACATTGTGACAAGCCTTTCTTCATTCTCAGGGAATCAGGACTGGCTGTCACTTATCAAAAATGCAGAGAGTCGAGGACTGGTTCATGCCATAACAAATGAACAAAAACAGGACAAAAATTATATAATTAATATTTTACAGAAATAAGTTGTTCAGTGTATTGATTTTGTTAAATATAACCCTCATGTCAAAAGTTGATAATTTTGTACTGTGTTATATGATGTGTACAACATTTTATTGTTTTATAACCCTTCAATCTCATGTTCTGTAACCGTCATTTCCACAGGTTGCAGACCAGGTTCACCTGTAACATTGATGGCTGGTACAAGTCAAACAATTAGTAAAACTCTTCTGTCACTTGCTTAGGTAGTCCTTAAAAGAGGTTTTGGAAGCAAAAGTTCCCCCTGAAGGTTAAGATGTGAATAAGTCTTGGTGCCAATGTAGTTTACACAACCTAATTTTCATTTTTGTATCATCTGCCATATTGGATTTCCAGTATATGAGCTTCAGTCCAGCCATGACCTTCAATCAATAACATTCAGTATATTGACAGCTTTGTTTACTTACATAGAACAAAGTGTATTATCCCTATATATTTAGCAATGGTGGAAGTATTACTGCACTGCCACACACAGTTCCTGCATTATTAGTACAGTATAGTTAACATAATATAGACTGTTCACTTTAAGTTCTAAAAATAATTTCAGTTAGCTTATTGGCAGGTGGAAATTAACACTAACAGTATACATAACTTGGCATTTTCTTGAAAGAAAGTTTTTGTGAACCGGATGACTGTCTGGCTTCTGTGGATTGAAATAGATGGTATCAAGTTTCACTATTCCCCTCAATTGCTTCTGTGTTGCAAGTCATACAGTTCAACAGGATACTGTACTGATAACTCTTTTTTTTGACCTTGCAAGAATTAGTTTACTATCCTTCAGCTGTCCCTGGCTCCTATTCAGACTCCCTCACCTAAGTTTGTAAATTTATGATATGTGGATTTTCTAGATTTCACTAGTTCGTTTGGTAAAGGTTTTGGTGTGCATTATTCTCCAAGTGTCGATTTTCCTGAATTTGAAGATTGGTATTCTTTTTTACCAACTGGTATTTTGATGTATATCTGGCTCCAGTGGGGTTTCTTATGCTAAGAGTTTCTGTGCCTCTCATTCTTATAGTCACTGGAAAACTCGGACAACACCAAGGAACTGCAAAGCCTTGGGGAGTTCTACTATCACTTTAACTGTCTCTTAAGGTGGTGTGTAAGGGAATAGCCCGGTTATTTCAGAGGATGTGTTCCTAAATGTCATTGCGAATATCGGGGCAATTTTCTTCGAAAGAATTTATGTATATAGGGGGGATGCATTCCCAGCTGGCAACTTTCACTACATATTTTTCGTGTGTATATTATAGTACCAGTAAATGTGAGGAATATGTCAAAATTATACTAATAAATAAAATAAAGGAAAAAGAAAACCTCATTGCCAATTGGCAACCGTTTCACTATGAGACTGGAGTGGCTGAGATCTCCACCACCACTTCCTCCTCCCACAATCTGGTAATGCAGGGGAATGATAGGTGATAGGGGGGAAACGCTACATAAACAGTAAACAGTGCGGCGCTTATGTATACTACTGTAATTTGGTCACATACAAAATAAAGAATAAATTTTAACAAAAATAATTCTTTTCTCCATGTATAATTCAAATCTGAATACAGTGGTCCCTCGGTTAACGAACTCAATCCGTTCCAGCAGGTTGTTCGTTTACCGAAAAGTTCGTTAACCGAAACCATTGTTTCAATGGGTTTTTGGGTAATTGGTTCCAGCTCACCGAAAATTTCCTAAATTCAACAAAAATGGTAGAAAAGTTCACTTACTTTGAGGTGTGTATGTAGATGGCTCCTGGATGATGATGATAATTAGAATGGGGGTGGAGGAGAAGGAAGAAGGAAAGGCATTGGGGTGGAAGAGAAGTCACCCCATGGCACCATTTCATCCATAAAATTTTAGTTCTCTTGGTGTATTTCAAGATTATTTTCTTTAAATCAACACTGCACTGCATTATATATTGTCAATATGTAAAATATATTTCAAAATGACCAATAATTTGCTTGGAAACACAGAAAAAAGCGTTTAGTTGAAGAGAGTCTCAAGCAAGATGTTACCTCCACTGAAAACAGAGAGAGACTAACGCCTGTCTGGTGTGTTAACAGGCTGGATGGCACGCCAGAAACTAGTTTCTTTACCTTCAATTATGTTCAATAATTGTTAAAATGACTAAAAAAGTTAATATTAAACTTTTAAAATTATTGAATAGTATAAACTTCTTGATATTTACTAAAATAGTAAGGAATTTAAGCCCTAGAACCGATTAATGTATTGGCGGACTGATACTAAAGCTGGTTGCCCGGTCAGTGCAAGCGAAAACATGTTGAGGTCGGTTCGTAAAAAATGCGTTAACCGAATTTTTGTTCGTAAACCGAATTGAAGATTCTTATGGAAGGCAGTTCGTTAACCGAGGGATCACTGTATGTAAATAAACACATAACTTATGTACAGTATATCACTGAGGATATTATAGTCCACCCTAGTAAAACTTTTCTTTATTACAGAGCAAAAGAGTAAAAATATACTCTAATGTAGCTTAGAAATAAATAAAATATAATATAAAACTATAAAATACGAAAAATTAAGAGCATAGGTGTGTGAGGTGAACGTGTGTGAAGGTCACGCAGTGAGCTGTCCTGAGTGGCTGATTCCCGCTTCCCTCCCTCCCTTGTGACGTCACGGCATACACACATCTCAGTCAGCTGGTTGACTGCCAGGCTGAACCGTGGCATCACTTAGATGATGGTTTGAGTGTGGAAGGCGCTATTTTTTTTACATAAAATGTGTTATTGCATTTTATGATATGCTGTGTATTAATTTTATTGTTTATCGCAGCAATTTTTTTATATAAAACCGTTGTAGTACTGCAGGTGTAAGACACATGAATAAATGACTTCAGTTATTTTTGGATTGTTGGACTAAATTAGAGTTTGTACCAAAGGGGACAAGTTGGGATACCTGGAAGATTCAGATACTGTAGTTGTAATTTGGATAAACTGAATTGCACTGTAAATTAAGTAAAATCTACGACATTGGATTTACCGTAATTGTAGAGACGTTCTGCATACAGCGGCTGGCTTGACATGAATGGGGGAGGTTGTTCGGTGTTACTGGGTCAGTACCGCAGGAACCAAATCTTACCAGGAATTGCTGAATATTAATTCTGGTGTCCAAAATATTGGGGTGCTACAGCACCCTCCCTTCCCACATCCATGTAATGGGTGGAATGAGCCAACACGCACCCAACCAAAACAATAACGAACACCAGACTGACCAAGCGTGAGTGCAGTGTGGCGAGTGTTACCCACGTGGCCAAATATACCGAGATTTTCCCAGATCATTAAATTAACTCGGCATTTCCCGAGTTATTTTATAATAAATTCCAAGACCTTATCCATGCCGAGTTATATGAAATTCCGAGATATCGAATGCCAAGTTATCGAGAGATTACTGTACCACCGACACTCACTACCACGACCACTCGCCATCATCAGTAACACTCGCCACCACAACCAACACTCCCCTTTCTCTCTCCCCCCTTCCCCTCTCACGATCGCATACTAACTACCGTGGACGTAAGAAATGTGTATTATATTTTTGTTTTTAACCTTGAGATAATCATTTACTTTTTTTTTTTGCACATTCTGTATGAAAAATTGTGTGTGCATGTAACAGTAAAAAAAAATTAATAAAGATACGTATATCTACTCGAAATTACGTGTTGAAAAATAACAATAACACAACTTCGCCTGGTAAGAGGAGAGGCAAGGTGATGTAGCTACGGTGACGTCTAACTTGGCGGCCTGTCAAGTCAGCACACACACACGCACACATGTTCATTACATCAGGCCATACTTAGGTCTACTTCACAGGTGCATTTTTGTCCTGTACGGGAGAAGGCATGTGTTTACACAGGTATTTATTTATGCTTCAGTTTGCCTGCATCTGACAAAAATAACCACAGGCACTTCCAGCATCTACCATAGATGCATCATAACTGACATGCGGAAAAAACATGCTCGTCATATGAAGAGTTTTAGAACACTCAGTGTATTTTTTCACCGTGGTTTGGATGTATAGGTACAGGCATGGGGTCAGTGTCTCCCACGTGTTCTCTATGCCATTGACCTTTATTAATTTCTAAACCGTGCAGAAAAAAACGCTTGTGTGAATTGGGTCTTACAAGTACAGTATATCAGAATATGAGAGCTGCAGCTAACCCGTCCAGTTATAAATATTAGTGTAGGGTATCATAAGTTTTCATTTGCGAATAAGCATGGTATGTTTTGCGAATATCGAATAGGGGTGTTAAAATATCAATTATGGACAAACAGGGTAGTGAATAGCCAGGTACAGTTGGCTCTACACCTGACTTTACTACTTAGTATTGCCAATTCTCTCTCTCCCTGAGGTATGAACCCCTGAACTCTGAAGTGAGAATTCGAAGCATTCACCAGTGAGCGAGAGGGTGGGGTGTGTCTAGCTAGGTGTCTTTCTGTGGAGGGGGGGGGGTGGAAAGTGTACAGTAGGTCGTTTGGGAGAGATTACATTGCAGAATAATGCTTTGACAATACCGATGGGGTTTGCTCATCTGAGTGTAATCGTCTAACACTATCCAGATGAAATACTAAATTTACAATAAGATGAGAGGGGGTGGAACTTCCCCAGCTGAATAAAATTGTCTGAGTCGGAATACAGTAAATACAAAGACGTCATAATAAAGGGATTAATTAACAATCAGGAAGTGGGCAACAAATATTTATTGTAATACAAACTTGATGTAAACAAAAGTAGTTCAGTTGGCAGCAGTCCGGTATAAAATCAGCAAATCACAAAGTTTTATTGTGCCAAACAGGTTGAATGGATAAAAAATTGGTAAATTTGCATAAGTGCACCCCACTCTGTTAGAAAGTCAAAAATATATTTTTCTAGTGTATTTGTGTGTGTTTAGACCGAATATGACCTTCATTTCCGTCGGAAATTGGCCTTTTTTATATCATTTTTTTTCATGAGACGTTTTCCAAAAAAAAAAAATGGCTAAGCTAATAAAAAATACACCAAAAAACACTAGAAAAACAAAAACAAGACCTAACCTAAGTGACTCTCACCATATGATGGAATCACCTATTTCTTACCTTATTGGCCGGGTTCTTGTTCGTCGTAGGATTCTGAGATTCTTACACAACGCCACATAGTATGTTGGTCTTTGCGATATTTACATTCAGTCCTGCACTTAGGACACTTTACGGAGGTTGGAAGAACACCACGCGATCGAAAAATGCTATAGTTTCTAAGTTTTTTTCCCAAAAACTCGCAATCTGCTTCATATAATTTAAGTGACGCCCATCGCAGACTTCCATGGTTGGAAATGAATTTGAATTTCAAAATATGAGACCCAAAATAAAAATCAAATTTGATTGGGTCAAAAATAGCGTGAATTAAATAAAAAATCGTTTTAATTGGATGCAAAAAAACCAAAACGCCTTTGATTGGCCGCGTGACGTGTACGGGAACGCATGCGCGTGATGATTTATGAAGGAGACACACACAGTGTTGGAGGTGAGGTAGGCGATAATGGCAGAAGATTAATGGAAGAAAATAGAGAAAGTTTTGGATATGCTATCTCCGTTATTATACATTTGCGACAGTAATGTAATAGATGAAAATTATCTTATAATTAGGCTTCTTATTTGAATATGATAATAGATTAGTGGTAGGAATGTGGGATGTGAAAATGCAATACCGTAATGCCAAAAAGTTATTATTATTATTACAGGTTGACAATCCCTTATCTGAAATTCTTGGGGCCAGAGGCATTTCGGATTTCGGAATTTTTCGGTTTTCAGAATGGTAAGTGTTTTTTTTATTTTTTTTATTTTTTTATTTTTTTATTTATTTATTTATTTATTTTTTATTTATTTATTTATTTATATTTTATTAGCCCTCCGGGCACAAGTCACTGATCCACATTGGGGCCTAGGGGGCAAACATATAATAATAATAATAATAATAATAATAATAATAATAATAATAATAATAATAATAATAAAATTCATAGGTTTAGGTCGTGTTTCTCACTTTTTATCTTTTTTCATTCTTGTATTTCTTTATTATTATTTTATTAATACAGTATTATTGTTTTTATTTATTATAAATTTTATTATTATATTTTATTATTATTATTGTTATCATTATTATTTTATTTTGGTGTATTTTTTAATTAAAAATTTTATTTACTATGAATAATTATTATTATTATAATTAGTATTACTATTACATTTTCGCCCCCCAGGCCCCGATGTGGGTCAGTGATCTATGCCTGGGTGGGCTAATCCCTGTTTAAAAAAAAAAAAAATTGCTCCACAAAAAAACTTTCGGTTTTCGGAATTTCGGATAAAGGGTTGTCAACCTGTATTATCAAATGTGCAGTTTGTGATGCAAAGCTGTTGTTTAAAGATGTTAGATAATAAAGTTCTATATTATGCATTGGACGCTACGGCAACCCTGGACGAAGGTGCAGGAGGAACCCTCGACTACCCATCCATTCCCCTACTTTCCCTGCCTT